GGGACCGCTCCGCCACCAGCGCCGTCGCACGGTTTTGGTCCAGCCGCGTCAGCGCCGTCACGTTCTCCGGCTTGAGCTTCCCATTCGAGGCATTCAGCAGAACATGGGCCATTGTGTTGGCGGGATTGGTCACAATGCACACGCGACAGTCAGGGTGGGCCACCTCGCCCAAGACGCGGCCCTGCTCTTCGATGAGCCTGGCGTTGCCCCGTAGGAGGTCCTTCCGCAGCATGCCGGGCTTCAGCGGGACGGAGCCGAACATGATGGCGAAGTCGGCTTGCTCGAAGGCCACCTTCGGATCCGGCGTGGCGAGAACACGGTCCACCAGCGGAAAGGCGCAGTCAACGAGCTCCGCACGGACCCCCTCGAGAACACTCATGACGGGCTCCACGTCCAGCAGGTTCAGCTGGAGGCGCTGCTTGGGGCCCAACATGCGGCCGCTGGCAATGAGAGGAAGCATCGCGTACCCAGCCTGGCCGGCCGCCCCCGTCACAGCCACCCTCACGCATGACTTATTCGCGAACATCCCAACCTGCCTGCAGACTTGCTTTTGAAAACTTGCTTTGTGCGCAAAAACTTACGGCAACAAATTGAAGGGAAAACGTTTCTCATTGGGGCTCCCCTCGGCAAACGTCCGCAGCGCTCAACCACTCCCCGCGCCAGCTGCCCCTCCCCCGAGAAGAGGGAGGAGGGAGGAAAAGGAGGGACTACACAAACAGGGTGGAGCTGCGCCCATCCGCGGAGGAGCTCGGCGCCGGCAGGGCCCTGCGTGCACACATACATGTATGCATTGACATGTGCACATGCGTCTAACTCCGCTCTCTGCTTGAGTGCAGGCGGCAGAGCAGACACGAACACACCGGCAAAGAAAACCTCCATGAAAAGAAAAACAAAAAAAAATCACAACGGCATCCGCATGAGGAGAGGCGGGGACGGCCCAAAACCGCCACGCGCAAGAACAACAGCCGCCACTTCTCCGCCTCCCTCGGGAAAGACGCAAAAAGGAGGTGGAAGGGAGACCCGCTGCCTCAATGGGAACCAGTTGTTTATGCAGTTAACGTCGCCCACGTGCGTGCAAGTACACATGCTGTGGGCACAGTAACGAGGGCCCACAGAAGAGCAGAATACTCTACGCCTTACATTTCCAATGAAACAATGAAAACAATAGTAAAAAACCACTTACTTTATTCC